ATTCTGATAAACATTTTACTAGTTAACCACTTCTTGATATCTTTCAAAAGAAGTGAGATATATAGGCTCAAAGTGGACGATCCGGGTGTCGTTCTATTAGAAGTTTTACGGTATGTTCAATACAAATTTTTATTTTGTTTTTTAAACTATTAAAATGTTAAAATATTGAAAAAAGAGCAAGTTTTCAGAGCAAAAATGAAATTCGAGACATGTCTGAAGCGTTTTCGGACGAGCGACAGAATTTGCAAGAGACGATATCAGAGATTGATAAGGAGTTAAGATTAAAGTGAGTTTGATTTTTTTTTTCCTAGTTTTCATAGTTTTCAATAGATTAAGCTCATTGTGAGCTTCAATATGAACCCAAACACGATTTGGCTCCGTCCATTTTGAATTTTCATCTAGGCACGCGACGCACGACAGCGACGCGCCTGAAAAACCAATGTGAACAGAGCCTAGTCGTGTTTGGGCTCATTTTGGAGCTCTCCTTGTGGTGAATTAGAATCTGGAGAAATACTGGGAATTATTATATTGGGATTGTGAATAATCATTAAAATTGTTCAAAAATTCCTCCGAATACAAATCAATTCTGAAATGATTAATGCAACAGTTGGTGCTAACTTTTTTTGAACATATTCAAAATTTTTGAAATAGCATTTTTTCAAACTTTTCAAACTTAAAAAAAGTTTCGTTAGGTTTGGAACTGAAAGCTCTAGAATCCGAATTTTCAAAATTTCCAAGAACAATCAATTTTCGTTTCTGTCTGAAAATTAATCAAGAATTTTGAAACAGTAATTTGTTGATTTTTCGAATTTATTTTTTTGGATTTTCGTAGATTCGGTACTGAAAATTCCAGAAAAAAAAACATATTATAGATTTGCTCGAGTTTCTGAGCCTTTCGAATAGTTAAAATCTGAAAACATGCGAAATTTTGAGACTTTTTTTCCAATTGAAAAATTCAATCGTGGATTGAATTTTTGTCCCTGTCTGAAAATTAAGCAACATTTTGAAACAGTAATTTCCCGGTATGTCTATTTGTCTAGATAGTATAATTCCTCCGGCTAACCAATTACAGTTAATTAATACTGAATAATCAAAGTTTGATTTTGAAACAGTAATTTTTTCGAACTTTCAAAAATTGGAAAAATAGCATGTTTTCAAAGATTCAGGTTTTAGACATTATAAGCAATTTTTCGAAAGTTCTATTATTTTTCAATTCCTAAGGACTCTCGGGATTCATCAATTTCCCTGGTTTGCAGGAATGAATTAAAACATTTTTTCAATTTTTTTACAAAAAATTACTGTTTCAAAATTAGTACTATCAACTATAAAAATTAATTCAACAATAAGCCCAGAGCCCATGTTGCAACAGTAATTTTTCAAAGATCGTTCATGTTCCATCTGTCGGTGTGTCTTTTTGTCCAGATTGTTCATTTAAAACATCGATTTTCACCGATGGACAAATTAATTTTCGAATATTGTAGTTTTCAAAAGAAATATAGTTTGAAACAGCAATTTGCAATTTTCAGGTTTTTTTGGATCCTAGAATTCTTTGGATTCTTTAATTTTTAGATACCTAAAATTCAAGAAATCAAAACTTTTGAATTTCTCCATAACTGTAAATTAATGTTCAGGGTTTCTAGGATTTTTGGGTTTCTGGGATTCTTTTAATTGAATTCTAAAAATTCAATTTCGATTCAATTTTCTTCAGATTGCTCATCGTTGAAAACTTCATTCCACCCGACGTCTGTGATCGTATGAAGGAGCGTGCCGAGTGGGACGAAAATGAGTTCAGATGGAATTTAACGGCTTTCCCATCAACGTCCTCAACTCCAGTAAATAATGGTGAGAAACTTTTTTTCTGGAAAGTTTGGAGAGCAAGAATTCATAAAAACCAAATTTTAATTTTTTTAAAAATTTTCTAAAAATTCATTATTACTGTAATTCTGTTCAAACAGTGACAAAAATCTGAATAAAGTCCACCTACTATTTTCAAAATCGTTTTCTGAAACGTTATAGTTAATTTGAAACAGTAATTATTTAATTAGCCTCAATTTATGTTAAAAGCTACAAAAATAGCCATAGATTTCTGTCTGTGTGTCTGTTTGCCCAATAAAATCGGATAATAAGTTGAGGGATGGTGTAGCTAATACAATAGTGAATATTCTAGAATGTTAGAGGGCGGTGTAACAGTTTTCAAATTTTTGAAAAATTGGAAAACAAATTTTGAAACAGCAATTTTTTGAAATATTGGAAATTTAAAAATCAAAACTTTCAGATGTTTAAAGTATTTCGACTTTTCTTTTATTTTGCAAAAATTGAATTTAAATTTTCTGAAAAAAATATTTTTATTGTTTCAACTGAATTCTTAAAATTTATCGAATTGTGTGAACATTCGAGATATGCACACCAATTTACAGTAGTCTCTCTGTGTGTCTGTTTGTCCAATCATAACAAGAACCAAAACAATTATATACAGTAACGGTCGAAAAGATAATCGAAATCGTATTTTTCAGTTGATTTTCGAACATTTTCAGAAATTCGGAGCTCGTCTGTCAAGATCACTTTGGTCACTTTGAAAATTATGGAAGATGTAAAACTGACTTAGATTGAAAACCTTGCATTTACAGAATTTTAAGGAAATTCCTAGTTTTCCAGATACTGGCCCATTTCTGGAAGACAACCATTTTCGTGATAAAAATGTGAAAAACAGGAATCCTTCAGAAATTGGCAAATAGCTGAAAAAATAGGATATTTCGAAAAATCTTGCGAACGCAAAGTTTTCAATCTAGGTCTATTTTATGGCTCCGCGTCACTTCGAAACCTGTCATTTCGAAACCAATAATTTCGAAACCAAAAAAAAACACGGTCACGTGAAAATGAAATTAAAAATTGGAAATTTTCAGTCTTAAAATTGAAGAAAAAAATTGCAGCGTGCAAAATTCGCAGTTTCGAAATGACTGGTTTTGAAGTGTCGCGGTTTCAAAACGACTGGTTTCGAAACGACCGGTTTCGAAATGACCGGTTTCGAAATGACCGGTTTCGAAATGACCGGTTTCGAAGTGTCACGTAGTTTCGAAATAACCGGTTTCGAAACGAAGCGGTTTCGAAGTGACGCGGAGCCTATTTTATAATCTCAAAAGTTTTCAAAGTGATCGGGAACCTGACAGCTGAGATCCAGACTCCTGAAAATGACCGAAAATCAACTGTAAAAGACGACTTCGTGTATTTTATTCGCCGGTACTTGCAAGCAGTTCTGAAAATTTTCTTTGAGAAATTTAAAAAAAATTGAAACAGTAATATTCAGTTAAAAAATTCTTCTTTTTTCCTCAAATATTTTTGTCTGTCTGTGTTCCTGTTTGTCCGGATTTCTCGTTCACACTTTTTTTCTTCGAAAAACACTGATTTCTACCGCTAATGTGCCAACGAATACTGTGGAATTCTAGACAAATATTTCATCCAAAAAATGAAACAGCAATTTTTTAAGTTTCTAAAATTGCTGATTAAAAAAAATTCCGCAAAAAATCCCAAATTTTCAGTAATCGAAGTCAACGAAGATGGGATTCTGACCCGATCAACTGGTGGGGATTCTGGAGTTTCTTTGAGCGGTGGAAACGGAATGTCATCAGCGAACTCGGCACTGGATAAGCGATTGGTAAGTTTTTTGTCTTTTGAATTTGCGCGAAATTTGAAAATCAAAATTCGGGGTTTTTTGAAGCTAAGAAAAAGGAAAAAACAGATCACGATTAGCCAAAAGAAGAGATTTTTGGTGTCTAAATTTAAAGGAACGCAGAGAAAAATGGAGACTGGTCACATGAAAAGAAGGCAAACAAGAAAATTTGTTCCCTTTTTTCATTTTTTTTGCTTTTGAAATCCACCGCAGCCCAATAATGCAAAATCGGAATTCAAGCAAATTTTGTAAAATTATAAAAATTTTGAAACATTAATCTATTCTGAATTTCTGAATTTCTGAATTTCTGAATTTCTGAATTTCTGAATTTCTGAATTTCTGAATTTCTGAATTTCTGAATTTCTGAATTTCTGAATTTCTGAATTTTTGAATTTTTGAATTTCTGAATTTCCGAATTTCTGAATTTCTGACTTTCCGAATTTCTGAATTTCTGAATTTCTGAATTTCTGACTTTCTGAATTTCTGAATTTCTGAATTTCTGAATTTCTGACTTTCTGAATTTCTGACTTTCTGAATTTCTGAATTTCTGAAATCTATCTGTAAATCCCTGAAATCTATCTGTAAATTTATGATTTTTCCAAAATTTTCAAACTTATTTTTTAAAACCGCGACGTTTCAGAACGGTCTTTTCCAGGTCGCAACCCCCGGATGCCGTCGACCAATGTCAATGTGTGAGCGAATGCTCGTGGAAAGAGCACGAGAGCGGTTCAGCAATCAGAGAAGACCACCCATTTCTGGTGAGTCCTTTTTTTTTTAATTCTTGTAAAAATTTTGCATTTTTTACTGTTTCAAAAATTTCTAATATTTCACATTGTAAACTTTCTTTTTACTGCATTTGTTCCTATTACAATTGACTCCGTTTTAATACTTCGACAGCCCGAAATCACGATCACGTAGCTCGGATAAATATATAATCTTTTAAATGTAAAAGCTGTGCAAACACCATTACGCAAACATGCAGACAAGGTTAAATAAGGGTTTCGCTTAGATTTCCAGTGAAAAATAGTCTACTTTGAAGTCCTACAAAAGTTGTCTAAAATTTTTCGATTTGTCTGAAAATTTTAAAGTACACTGAACAAAAATAGAGCATTACTTCTGTAATTGCCATTTTTTGCGAAATTTTAACAAGAACAGATAAGCGGTTTTAAAGGGACACAATGCTATTTTCATAGTTTTCCGCCTCTTTTCTGGTTACAAACCATATCTCATGAAATTTCTCTAAAAAACTTTACGAAATTGAAGTTCTATTTTTGTTTAGTACGCCCTGAAATTTTTAGAAAATTTGAAAAACTTTGATCCACTTTTTTGGAGCTTCAAAGTTGACTATTTCCCAGTGAAAAAAGTCAGAATATGATTTTTTTTAAAATGATAATAACTGTTTCAAAATATTTTGAATTTTCAAAACCTACATTTCATTCTTGTTCCGTTTATACAACAAATAATGCAACTATAATAACTAATTTTTTGAAAGGATTAAAAAATTGTGGAACAGAAATTTTCATTTCGCATGGAATCTAATTTTTTGAGAAATTCTGAAACTTTGATGTTTCAGAAAACTCAGAACTTTAATATTTTCAAATTTAGTATCAATTTGTAGATCTTTTCAAAATCTACATGTCACTTTTTGAATCAAAAAAAAATTCCAATTTTGAGCCGAGTTATGCGCCTTTAAATAACTCATATAATCGTTCATCGTCTTATCTCTCTCCGCCCATCTTTTTTCCGGAAGGCCGGAAAACTGGATGTTTCTTTTCTTCGCTATCTATTTATCTATGCAGTGATGATAATGATGGGGATGCTCTCTTTTCTTCTCTGCGTGTCTCTGCGCCTCTCTCTCTCTCTCTCACTCTTTCTGTGTGTACTATGAAAAGGGGGGCAGTTGTCACTCTACTACTACTACTACTATATGTTTCTTTTTCTTTTTTTTTTCTTGACACACACACATTAAATGGCTCCACTCTTTTTTTCTCTTATTTGCTCTTTCTGAAATTTGATCGAAATTTGAAAAAAAATGTTGAGAAACTTTTTTTAAATTTTAGAATTTTCTGGAATTTTAGAATTTTATAATCTAGACCTACAAAACAGCAAAACGATTCTTTAGAATTCTTGTTTAAAAAAATTTGAAACAGTAATGTTTTATTTCAAAAAAATCTGAAATGTTTTAGGCAACAGTGCATACGTGGAAGCTCAAATTCCGGAAGAAACGATTCGATTTTGTGGAGAAAACGTTGTGATTTTTAACGCGCTGGAACGTTTCGTTCCAGATGTGACCGATTCGGATCCGGCCACTTTTTCGAATATGGTAAGTTTGTTTATTTTGTAAAAAGCGCAAAAATTGGGTCTAAAAAGTTTAAGGCGCATATCTCAAAAACTACTGTAGCTATAGAAAAATGAAAAATAGAAAAATATGTGAAATTTTATGCTGAGCAATTAGATAGTTTACAACGTTTCGATAGCTACTGTATTTTTTGAGTAGTCTTCAAGGCAAGCCGGTAATAAGACTCAGACAACCTGCACTAGGCTTTGAAAGGCACATATCTCAAAAACTACTGCAGCTACGGGAAAAATTTAAAATAGCAACATGTTAAAAATTAAACGATGAGTAATTTTGTAGTTGCCAATTTTTTGATAAATACTGTAGTTTTTGAGATATGCGCCTTTAAAGTTCACAGCTTCTAACAGCAATACTAGACGCTTTCGTTTCTCTGCTTCTCTTCGGTGGTCAAAGTCCAAATCCACCTAGAATTATTTATTGCTCAGCATTAAAAAAAGAAAAAAAGTGAGATTGGAGAATATTTTATGTGCGGATACGCACATAAAATATCCATCACATGCTCTTGGATTTTTTTTTCTCTTTTTTTTTATTTCTCCACACACTTTTTTCATTAGGCTCGTTATAAATTTTTTTTTCTAAAAAAAAACTTTTCCAATTTATTTTCTGATTTTTGAGAAAAAATAAATCACTACATAGATATTTTTCCCTTTAAATTTGATTTTTTCAAGCGAGAGACGCAGAGAAACGAGAGCGTCTAGCTTACCTGCGTCTATCTCGCTGAAAACAGTCGCGTACTTTAAAGGCGCATATCTCCAAAACTACTGTAGATATCTAAAAGTTGTTGACTGCAAAATTACTCAGCATAAAATTTTACACATTTTACTTTGTTTGGTTTTTTCATAGCTACAGTAGGTTTTGAGATATGCGCCTTTGAAGTTGACTGGGCTTTTAGTGTCGGATGAGAACGTTCAACTTTAAAGACGAATATCTCGAAAAGTACTGTAGCTATCAAAAAGTTGGTAATTACAAAATTGTTTAGCATAAAAATTTACACATTTTGATATTTTCAATTTTTGAAGAACTACAGTAGTTTTAGAGATGTGTGCCTTTAAAGTTGACTGTTTTAGTGTCGGCAGGCAATGAGAGTGTACAACTTTAAAGGCGCATATCTCAAAAACTACTGTAGATATCTAAAAGTTGTTGACTGCAAAATTACTCAGCATAAAATTTTACACATTTTGCTATATTTAATATTTATGTTAAGTACTGTAGTTTTTGAGATATGCGCCTTTAAAGTTGGAAAACCGAAGTGCCCAGCTCCTCTGCGTCTCCAGGACGTCTCTAGACTAAATCTTTGCACTTTCTCTCTAATGTTTCTACTCCAATTCTCAAAAATTTGTTAGTTTTCAGTCAGAACGTCGTCCATCAATCGAAAATCTGACAATCGACGCATCAAAGGTGCTCGTTCCGATTCCGAGCCACCCATCGATGTCTATCAAGTGAGTTTTTTGAAAATTTCCGAATTTCAAGCCTAAAAACCTTCAAAATTCCCCGAATTTTGAGCCCAACCCCCTTAAAAATGTCCCAAAATCCTAAAAAGCCTGAAAATTCCAGAAATTCAAAAAACGGCTCAGCCCGCAACGACACAATGCCACCGAACAACGGTTCGATGAGACGGACCCATCATTATTAGAAATTGGAAATTCGACGACGATGAGCGGATTAGAATATGTTGATTATTTAATTAATGTAAGTCAGATTTTTGGTTTTGATATGTTGCCTAATGATTTGAGTGAAAATAGCTCGAGAAATCATCTAAATAGCTTGAAAAAATCAGCAAAAAATAGTAACAAATACCGTAAAACTTCTAATAGAACGACACCCGGATGAAGGCGAAGAAGCTGATGGTGAAATTGAGACAGGTGAGAGATTTTGGGGTACTGTAACCGATGGTGGCCTGGGAAGGCCGGATTCTGGGCCATAACCGCTTCTAGATTGGAATTTCTGAATTTCTGAATTTCCGAATTTCTGAATTTCTGAATTTCTGAATTTCTGAATTTCTGAATTTCTGAA